GGCCTCAGAAACGTGTTTGACTTGAAGCTAACAAACTTACAAACTTATGGACAAAAAGGTAAAAATGTTGAACCATCCAAAGGCTACCATTACTGAATGCGGATGGCCTCTCCACTGGGGACACACGTGGTGGGCCGCAAATGCAGGGCGACGGGCGAACTGCCTCTCGAATCCCACCAACTGGCAACATTCCATCCGTGCAGGCGAAATGCTTGCACTATAGGAGAAGGCGTACGGATACGTACTTTGTTATATACGAAATGGAGACAGAGTTCTTTGGCAATGGCTGGTCGTCGCCATATCCGAGTGTGGGCCTGGGACCGAATGAGACGGGCTTGGAGATGCCAAGCTTGTGAAGAGTACAAAAGTTCATGATTTCAGACAGAAAAGTCGACTAGGTACATACTGACTGGCTGGTTTTACATGATATCACGCTGGAGAAGCAGATTGTGGAGAGATTATACGGCTCAAGGGCTCGGGCAACTTGCCTTGTTGGCCGCAATAAGAATTCACACGCGTGATGGAGATGGTCCACATCCATAACATACATACCTTCCAGGAAATATAGATCTACGCATCGGCTCCTGGTATTGATGCAATCTCTGATTCATATCCGTTTGACAGGCACCCCTTCCAGGCCTAATCGTTGCTTTCCCCTCCGAGTTTTTATACGCAAGTACTGTATTGCTATAGGTCATAGATACGAGGCCCAGGAACCAAACTTTGTCGGCAGTTGGTCAAAGTTTATTATGAAATCTACCGAATGGGATCTGCAAAGTGTCGATTATTATGCTGGTCTTGTCCAAACGACTTTGATTATCAAGGTCCCAACTTCATATAACGATGCTACAATGAAGTCCATGAACCTTGTGCCATTCTTAATAGCACCACAGGGTCTTGCTTGCTGTTGGTAACTGTTCTGTTGGATCCTTCTACCTGAGGTAGCTCTCCTACCTACCTACCTAAGGTAGGTAGGTGCCAGTCAGGCACCCCGTTAAACTTCCATTACGGGAAAAACGGGGTAATCTCCCGCTGGGGCTTCCTTGTCCTTCACTGGGCAGTTCGTGCCATGCCAAATTGTTCTGACAGCAGGCCCTGGTAACCTAACTTCAACTACCTAACTACCTAGACACTACCATGGGAACCATGGTCTGCGTTCGTTAACTCTACCAGACAAGATCAAAGCGCGCTGTTGTGTTGTAACGATATCGGCCAGCGGCTGGCTCTGGATTGAACCTCCCGGCCCTTCTCGTCCTCGTCGATGACAATCCAATTCGTCGTCGAATCTCGGTTGAGAATCAGCTTTCGATATTCCTAATCCTTACCACATGAAACGGTCAAAGGCAAAACGCCTCTCTAACTACAAATCCTCATCAGCAGTGATATGATGATATGCACTCAATATCCTTTTGAACTACGGTAGGTAGAGTCATCTCGCTGCCACTGTTGAATGTTTGAATTTCAATTCGGCTTCGGCTGGCCTCAAACCTGCGCCAGCCCAACCGATGTTGATCAGCGCGAGCCATGGGAAGTGACAGAGTGGTTGCCGGCATGGATACCTAAAGTGTCACTTTGGTAAATCATCCCCGATGGATCTCATGCAAGCGCCGCTGCTACATACAGTACAGTACAGTACAGTATAGTACAGAAGCCCTGAAAGTTTCAATCCCCAGCTTCCAGCCCTCCGTCAGGCCCCCTGGCCATCGACTGGCCTCCCTTCGATCTTCGCAAATCGACTCTGTATGTACGTACATGGGCCCAGCGATAGTTCGTATGAAAGTCACTTTCCAAGTTCTCCTAATCTAACAAAACCAACAGTACAACAGGGCATCCTTTCCTAAAGGAACCTTATGCATTGAGGATTATGCTGTTGAGCAAACTAAGACACATGTCGACAGTGAGCCCCTCCTTGCCTTCTCATCGGATGTCATGGTCGTTCTGACAGGTCTCAAGACTAGCCTAAACCCGGGGGTGTTCTCACGGCACAGATATCGTATAATATTCGCCGAGAGTTTAACCACAAACAGGTATTCTGAGGTACATCTCGCACAGGCAACTCAACCCAAATGACCCTAACCGGACCAATGTGACGGGCGTTGGCAAGGTCTCATCCAGCCGTACATAATTAACGCAAAACAGATCTGATATGATAAGTGGTTGGTTAACGGCACATCCCTACCACTCAATGTTCTCTGGCCAACCACGCCCGTCCCGACATACCTAAGTGTGCTGCAGCCTCTCGATTCCAACGGTCTCGATGATGCACAGCACTCAAAAAAGCAACGAATAACGTTAATTAACAAGGCTCAGCCCGTTGCCAGCCCCTTCTCGAGAGCCGATTTGCAGACACGCTGGTCGCTTTCTGAGATGCTGATAAGCGCAGCATCAGCAATGTGATATGGCGAATCATTCGGCAGTACTTTCACATCGTGCATAACGCGTCGCAAACCCCAGACTCAATCTGAGATGCGAGTCAAACTGAACAGGCAATCACACCCTCTTCTGAATAAGCCTTTGGAGACAATCAAGCATGAGGCCTCCACCGTTCAATCATAAGTATGTATATGTGCTGTGTAAAGCTAACTCTAATAAGATGCCGGGAAACAGTAGCCTCACATGCGACGCCTTGTCAACTGCCGACAACGAAGCATGGTGCTATTCTCGAAACCAAGCATCTCGCGATGGCGACTACCGCGAACACCTTTGCGACCCTTGGGCGGACTGGAAATGGTCGTTGATTGGGTGTTCAGTCCTCGTAAGCAGAGCAAGATGTTGGGGGAAGTAAGACCCTCCCCACGACACATTCAGCCAACGCCAGCCGATCGGATCACGGTACAATGACGTGGCCGTGCTTCCACAAAGAGGCCCCCAGATCGATTCCTGATTTCTGGGTCTACACCTTGGGTCCTTGGCCTCGAAACATTGCCGAGGCGCACACGGAGATGCAGATGGAGCTTTCCACCACAGTGCTGGTGACGGATTCCAATGCTACCCCAAGTCCAACTGTATTTTGTGAGTTGACAGGGGTGGGTTGCGCCCGAAGCGATCGGTGAGGGTTTAGGGGTTGCCCGTGGCTCTTCCAAACGCCAGATTCCCGCTCGGTCAATGTCGCTAGTTGGTCATCATATTGAGCAGTCAGATATACTAAACGGATTTTGTGTAAGCTGCTTGCCACTCACGAGAGGGATTTGTGCATGTCACCACCATATCAGATACCACGATCATGATGAAGGCAAAATACTTATGTATACATATTTAGGCTGAAGACCAGCGGCGAAGCATCTGACACAACATATCGTGCAATCATTCCAAAGGGATGGATTCCCATTGAGCAGCTCAGTCAGGAGAAACAAGGACAGGGGTCTATCAACCATCAACACCAGGACGGAATGGCGGGAACCCTGGGATCTGGCTTGCTGTGGGGCGGATTCGACAGTGCGATCGTCTGATCCCAGGGCGCCGTGCGCTAGTGAGATCCTGCCCGTCCCGGGAACACACCACACCGCTTTCAGTGCTTCCATACACCCCTTTTCGGTGAGGGCAAAAGCAGAGACCGTCAGTGGTGTCCCGAAGCATACATACGGGCGACCAGCAGCCGAAGTCTACGACAACAGTGACACTTCCAGACTTGATTCGTCAACTCCATGAGTTCGATTC